AGCAAGAGGCTTGTCAGTTGAGTGCAGAACGGGAGACCCAGGTCTCTTTGGGCCAGGCTGAGATAAGGGGCCTGGCTGAGATAGGGGGCCATTGAAAAGCCAGACTAAGGCAGCAATAACCGGGGTCTGGGACAAAGGCAGGATAAACATACTGATGGGTGATGTTTCTGGGGAACTTAATGAAAGTGGGGGGGAGGGGGAAAGAGTAGAGGCCCCCATGTTGGTGTTTGGTTTGCTTTGCAGTGAGTGGCAGCCTAGGTGTGGAGATCTGAGGGAATTGTCTCTGCCCGCCTCTTTGACCAAGGATTTGGGTGACTGCAGTCTTCTGTTCCAGGTCACAGCTTCTGAATGGGAGTGAGGAAGCATACTCAGGCCCAACATTCCCTCCCAACCAACTCACTCATTGTCCAAGCAGATGTTTCCACAGTAGGTCCAGCAGCAGGTATACTTTGTTTCAAAACATCGGTTTTCCCTAGAGCACCTTAGGCTGCAAAACTTCAGTGGAGGCTGTACCCAGCACTGCTTAATTTCTTTTATTTCAGCTGAAACCAAGATGATAGGAATTGGCAGGGTCTATCCAGTCACAATCAGGTGAAGAAACCCTTCTCTAAAGTCTGGAACCTGAGCTCCAAGCCATAAAGTATTTCTCTGCCTTTCAAGAAAATCCTTTCCTTGAGTGCTAGCCAGTGTCTGTTTAGAAAAGATTATCTTTCATGATGTGACTTCCATCTTTCCACACGCCCCCAGAGCATTGCAGGCCTTCAAGCCCTCTCTAAGCTCCCTAACAATAGGATCTTGGATACCCTCACCATGTCTGACACAACCTCACCAAATCTATTCTCATATACCCTTAGGTTTTAAGACTTGTAATATCCTCTGGCTCCAATTTCCACACCCAATTTGCAGAATGGAAAACTGAGCTGGGGGAGACTAGGAACCTGCCTTGCCCCCTTTCTGTTCTCTCTTCTTGTTTACTTTTATTTTTCACTATATTCCCTTTGCTGTACTTTATATCCCTATGACTATTCTGTAAATACCAATTTGCACTTCTTAATCTCTTTATCTTTTTTTACCCAACCCTCCTCCCATCTGGAAATATTTACATCAAAATATTCTCTGTATCTGAGTCTGTTTCTGGTCTGCTTGTTGGTTCCTTTGTTTTTTAGAGTCCACATATAAGTGAAATCATATGGCATTTGTCTTTCTCTGCCTGACCTATTTCACTGAACACAATATGCTCTAGGTACATCCTGCTGATACCACCTAAACATTAAGCCTCTCCCCAAATTTCATATCTTTTACTGGTCCACAACCTTCCCTCTCAGTCCCTTCATTATTCCACCCCCCTTTTTTTTTTATCAAAGATTCCAAGCTTTGACTCACTAAGGACTTCTTATTTGTCTTGTCTAATTTTTCTTGCTCTAAAAGATTTTCCCCCTCAAACTGAACGAAAGTGTTAAAATATTACTCTTTTGGTGTTCACCAAAGGCTCACTCAGATCAGGCACAGAGATTCTAAAAATAGGGGCACAGAGAGAAGCTCTGTGCTGGTGTTTCCGCTGCCCAAGGTGGCCTGGCATTGGAAAATATCATTTCCTGTGAGCTAATGAAATGTAGACAAAAACTACATTGCCTTTCCATCTACCCAACATTATTCTCAGATCTGGGAGAGGGAGCTTGAAGGGGTGCCAGATTGGGAATTCCAGATTGGATGTCTCTGCTTTAAGAAGGGTTCTGATTCTTTGAAGGGTGAAACTGGAAATTGGACCCTGAATCAGTTATGCCGACTTCCCAAGCCTGGGCAGAACACCTTTCTCCCTCACCACACACCGGAGTTCCTGATGCCTCCCAGTGCAGGCAGAAGCATCACAATCCCACAGATGGATATTTTGAGTAGGACAACCCAGAGCTTCATGGTAGTCTCTGGGTTAAGTTCTGGCACAAGACAGATCTTCTCCAAATGCTGCTAGAGGTAGAAAAGGAACCAAGGAGAATAGGGTAGGAAAGAGAGAGATAGTGCTTGTGAATATTGTGTAATTGTTTCTCCTACTTTTCCTTTTCACCCTCTGGCACCTAACAATGTATCAAACTAGCCGTTAGCTTCCCCTGACTACTTTCCCATTACATATAGCTTCCTTTCCAAGTTATTTTTAAATGCATTGCTATTTTTCCCATTAAAAAGCAATAAATCTTCAAATTGTATAATTTCTAAGACAAAAAAATACAAAGAGAAAATAAATAAGCATTAGGAATTCTACTATCCAGAGATAACCAGTATATGTGTATCCTTTAATCTTGTAGTCATTATTTTTATGAAAGTGGAATAATACAATAGAACACATTGAGTATACTGATTTTTAAAGAACATACGTAACCAGATGATATAATTTAGTCAAGACCCTAAAATAAATGTTACCAAAGGGATTCCAGGGTGTGTGATGAGGTGGATTACTCAGGAGGACTTGAGAAAAGACAATGGCCAACAACTGGTTGAGGGACTCTTAAATATTTTATCTACATAGATGGTGTAAATGCCGGATTTAGGCATGTGAATCATTGACTCATTGACTTTGAAGCAAATTTGGTTTAGGTGACTTGAGGAGAGACAAGGGTAAGAAAAGAAGATCATGGAGAGAAAATTCCTCAAAATGTAAGAGATTAGTGGTTTGGGGGGCTACCACTCTGAGATGCTTATATATGACCTGCAACCTACTCCATTCAGAAACCACAACCTTGCCAACTTGCCTTGGCATAGCTTGATGATGGAAAATTATCAAGTTAAGGTGTTTAAGTTTCATTTACTACTGGGCAATATTTACATCAAAGGATATAACTTAATTGGTGAAGCTCCAGGCCAAAGAACTATCTTTGAGCATGGTAGTCTTCCAAAAATGCTATAAATCACTTGCAATTTTTTTGCGCAGGAAAGCCAGTGAGCATAGACAGTCTTTGAGTGTGGCTCAGAGTGTTCTTCTGATCCTCTGAAGGCATCGGCACAGAGCAAGACAAATGTGCAAAGCAGATAGTCTGTTAACCACTTACAGATGAGGATATAAGGTCTGAGTTAACTGGATTGGGATGGCTTCTGGATTCTGGCACCTGCCTTTTGCATAAAGAAGGAGGAAGACTGGCACACAGTACCAGAAACACAACGATTCCAAAGCTGTTGGTATTCAAAAATATCATTCTAGACTTCAGTTATCCAAAGCTTTGAAATCTGTTTTTTTAAAAGGCCTCATGCTTAGTTCAGTTTTCTGAGTTTCCTACTTGCTCTTGAAGGATTATCAGGATGTGGGGATGCCAAAAACCCTTCTTTGCACAACTCAGATGTACTAAGTAGCCCCAGAGAAGAGAAACATTCTCATGCTCAGGCTGAGTACTACTCACATACAGAGTTCTGGGTGAATTCTTTAGCCATCCTGAGATAAAGTATAGACAATGAAAAGGTCTCTTAAGTATCACAAAAACAGCTCCCCACAAAATTCAGGGTTTGGGGGCTTTCCAGATAATGTTAAAGGAGAGAAAGTGTTGAATTCGAGTCAGGAATGTTAATGTCTTGTTTCATCTCTGCCCTTTTTACCTATGGGACCTCAGGCAGGTCATATCACCTCTATTTCCATGTCTTATTTGAACAACAGAGACAATGATCCCACATCACAGGAATAATGTTGACATCGCCTGAGCAGGGAACTCATCCAAGCAAACCACAGATAAAAGTTTATGCCTCAAGACCCTTACCCCACCTACCTTTAAAGCTCTCTGAGTTGAGTGTTTGCAGTAACTGGCTGACAGTTCTTTTAGCTGGACTCTTCTCACGTGGGGAATGAAAAGAAGGTTATGTCCTGGAATAAGGGGCAGAAGAGCTGAAAAACAAAGATCAAAGGTCTGGAACTTAATGATTTGGTAATAGCAGATATGTACATTCCGCCCAGGAATTACATATTGACCATATCACCAACTATTTCCTTCAATAATCACGAATACAGAAGTAATGGATTTTCTTTGATTTGAGCAATATCTCCTACTAAACTAGAAAGAACACTGTGAACTAGGGTTGCAGCCACCCACAACAGACTGCAGTCTAGAGTCTTTATCTAATGCATATGAGTCTATCCATAGGTTGGGAATGGAAGATGATCTGTATATATCTGTTTTCCTTTGATTTGTGTAGGCAATTGAATGTCTCACTCTCTTCTGTATTGATTCTCCTTTGCTAATTAAAACATAATATCTCCTGCCACATGCAGTGTGGCTTTTATGTGGATAAAAAGAGACCAAATAGGAAGGACTTTAGAAAAGACAGATTTGGTTCACCAGATATCAAAGAGGAGCATTATATTGGGCAGATATACACATGACTTGAAGCTCACTGGAAAATAGAAGAGTCGAAGGGACAAGGTCCAGGGACTACCAAGGGCACACACCTCCTTCTCCCAAAACTTGTCACAGGTATGTTTTATACAGACAAAAGATATTCATATATAAGTGATTTCCCCCCAGGCTTTGTTGGGTGTCTTGAGAAGCAAGAAATATATGCCAGGATTCCAGAGACTTGGCTGAGCAGGGTGGACCAGTACAGACACAAAAGGCAGACTTTGGGGAACTAGGGACTGAAAATAGTGCCAAACCTAAATAATTGAATTATGGATTTGCATGTATCAGCCTCATGCTCTGTGTCTGGCCCAGGAGTTAGGGATTTTTGATGGTTTGTTTGAGGTGTACATACACTGACAAGTACCCAGGAGGCTTCTCTCAGGATTTCTGCTATTCCTGGTTCTGGATCACATATAAGGACCTGCAGAAAGCTATGCAGAATTTAGAACAATATCTTCTCATTTAAAATGCAGTGTCCTTGGGAAAAAGAGATAGAGGAAGACAAGCAAATGGAAGAACATACCGTGTTTATTGATTGGTAGAATCAACATCATTAAAATGTCAATACTGCCCAAAGCAATATATAGATTCAATGGACTCCCTATTAAAATACCAATGACAGAGGCTGAGGGAGAAGATGGTGGCGCTGGGGGAACCTGTACGGCTGGAAAGGGATATCTGTAGAGCAATTGAATTGTTGGAAAAACTACAAAGGAGTGGGGAGGTACCACCACAGAAACTTCAGGCTTTACAAAGAGTCCTGCAAAGTGAATTCTGCAATGCTGTAAGAGAGGTATATGATCGTGCCTGTGAGACTGTGGACATCAGCAGCTGTCCTGAAGTGAGTGAGAGCTAATGCTACGGCAAAGGCTACTGTTGCTGCATTTGCTGCCAGCGAAGGACATTCTCATCCTCGAATTGTTGAGCTTCCAAAAACAGAAGAGGGCCTTGGGTTCAATATCATGGGATGCAAAGAACAAAACTCTCCAATCTACATATCCCGAATAATTCCAGGAGGAATTGCTGATAGACATGGAGGCCTCAAGCGAGGAGATCAACTTCTCTCTGTTAATGGAGTGAGTGTGAAAGGAGAACATCACGAAAACGCTGTAGAACTGCTGAAAGCAGCTCAAGGAAAGGTTAAATTAGTAGTGCGATATACATCTAAGGTCTTAGAAGAAATGGAGTCACGTTTTGAAAAAATGAGATCAGCCAAACGTAGGCAGCAGACATAATGCAGTTCAGAACTTTATATTTCATTTTGTTTTTAGCTAGAGAAGTTTTACTTGTGACCTACTGATGGCTGCAATGCCAATGATTATAAAGAAAAACAAATTCACTGAAACCGGTTTGGCTCAATGGATAGAGCGTCGGCTTGGGGACTGAAAAGTCCCGGGTTCGATTCCGGTCAAGGGCATGTACCTTGGTTGCAGGCATATCCCCAGTAGGGGGTGTGCAAGAGGCAGCTGATTGATGACTCTCTCTCATTGATGTTTCTAACTCTCTATCTCTCTCCCTTCCTCTCTGTACAAAATCAATAAAATATATTTAAAAAAGAAAAAAAGAAAAACAAACTTACCGTGAAATGCTCCTTGCCATTTTATAAATGCCTTTTTTAAAATCATTTGTGGTTCCAGAGATGCATACACTTTTTTCTGACAAGAAAAAGTAAAAGGTGATGAGGGCAATTTTGTCCTGCTCTTTTTACAGGCCTTTTTCAAATGCAGATTTTGTCATAAAGTTGTTATGGATTTTTTTTTTTTTTTTTTTTTTTTTTTGCTGGCTCTTATCTGAAATGTTTAATGAAGGGGAAGCGTGTGTCATGCACATTAACCGAAAGGATGGTAATTGGGTTGAGAAAGTGAAATTTTTTTTTTTTTTTTAATTTTTAATCAATATAATATCTATTTTAGTAATAGTAGTTCCTAACAGTAACAGTTGATTGAATTGTATTAGATTAACTTTATTTGTATTTCTTTTCTTTTTTTTTTTTTTTATTGTTTCGTTTATTCATGCATTTATTGGTTGTTTCTTTTTTTTTTTAATTTATTTATTTATTTATTTACATATTTTAATGATTTTTTTTTGCCCCCCTCCCTCCCTCCCCCATATCCCCTCCCTCCCCATAGTTTTATGTCCATTGGTTGTACTTATATGCATGTATACAAGTCCTTCGGTTGATCTATTATCTCCCCCAGATCCTCCTCCCCTCCCCGCTGTAATTTGACAATCTGCTTGTTGCTTTACTGTCTCTATATCTATCTTTTGGTTCATCAGTTTATAATGCTCTTTATTATCCACAAATGAGTGAGGTCATGTGGTGTTTCTCTTTTATTGATTGGCTTATTTCACTCAGCATGATGTTCTCCAATTCCATCCAGGTTGCTGCAAATGATGAGAATTCCTTCTTCTTTATGGCAGCATAGTATTCCATTGTGTAGATGTACCATAGTTTTTGGATCCAATCATCTGCTGACGGGCACCTAGGCTGTTTCCAAATTCTGGCTATTGTAGATTGTGCTGCTATGAACATAGGGGTGCATATATCCTTTCTGATTGGTGTTTCTAGTTTCTTGGGATATATTCCTAGGAGTGGGATTACTGGGTCAAATGGGAGTTCCATTTTCAGTTTTTTGAGGAAACTCCACACTGTTCTCCACAGTGGTTGCACCAGTCTGCATTCCCACCAGCAGTGCACAAGGGTTCCTTTTTCTCCGCAACCTCGCCAACACTTGTCGTTTGTCGATTTGTTGATGTTGGCCATTCTGACAGGTGTGAGATGGTACCGCATTGTTGTTTTGATTTGCATCTCTCGTATAATTAGTGACTTTGAGCATGTTTTCATGTGCCTTTTGGCCTTCCTTCTGTCTTCTTTTGAAAATATTCTATTTAGGTCCCTTGCCCATTTCTTAATTGGATCATTCATCTTCCTTTTATTTAGTTGTATCAGCTGTCTGTAGATGTTAGAGATTAAACCTTTATCAGTGGTGTTATTTGCAAATATGTTCTCCCACACCGTGGGCTTTCTTGTTGTTTTGTTGATGGTTTCTTTTGCTGTAAAAAAGCTTTTTATTTTGATGTAGTCCCATTTGTTTATTTTCTCTTTAGCTTCCATTGCCCTAGGGGCAGTATCAGTGAAGAAGTTCTTTTGGCATACGTCTGAGATTTTGCTGCCTGAGGATGCTTCTAGTATTTTTATGGTTTCCCGTCTGATGTTTAAGTCCTGTATCCATTTTGAGTTTATTTTTGTGTATGGTGTAAGTTGGTGATCTAGTTTCATTCTTTTGCATGTGTCTACCCAATTTTCCCAACACCATTTATTGAAGAAACTGTCTTGACCCCATTGTATATTCTTTCCTCCTTTGTCAAATATTAATTGAGCATATTGATTTGGGTTGATATCTGGGTTCTCGATTCTATTCCATTGATCTATATGTCTGTTCTTGTGCCAGTACCAGGCTGTTTTGAGAACAGTGGCTTTGTAATACAGTTTGAAGTCCGGTATTGAGATCCCTCCTACTTTACCCTTCTTTCTCAGGATTGCTGTGGCTATTCGGGGTCTTTTATTGTTCCAAATGAACTGTTGGAGAGTTCTTTCTAGGTCAGTGAAATATGCCCTTGGTATTTTAATGGGGAGTGCATTGAACCTATAGATTGCTTTAGGAAGTATGGACATTTTGATGATGTTGATTCTACCAATCCATGAACATGGTATGTTCTTCCATCTCCTTACATCATCCTCTATCTCTTTTTTCAATGTCGTGTAATTTTCTGCATATAGATCCTTTACTTCCTTAGTTAAATTTATTCCTAGGTATCTTAATTTTTTTGGTGCGATGGTAAATGGAATTGCTTTTTTAGTCTCTGTTTCTGTAGTTTCACTGTTGGTGTATAGAAATGCCATGGATTTCTTGGCGTTAATTTTGTATCCTGCTACATTGCCAAATTCATTTATTAAGTCAATTAGTTTCTTAATGGAGTCTTTTGGGTTCTTTATGTACAATATCATGTCATCTGCAAATAAGGATAACTTTACTTCTTCTTTTCCAATTTGGATGCCTTTTATTTCGTCCTCTTGTCTAATTGCAATGGCTAGTACTTCCAGTACTATGTCAAACAGGAGTGGCGAAAGTGGGCATCCCTGTCTTGTTCCTGTTCTTAGAGGGAATGGTTTTAGTTTTTGCCCATTGAGTATAATGTTGGCTGTGGGTTTATCATATATAGCTTTTATTATGTTGAGGTATGATCCTTGTACTCCCACTTTGTTAAGAGTTTTTATCAGGAAAGGGTGTTGGATTTTATCGAATGCTTTTTCTGCATCAATTGATATGACTATATGATTTTTATCTTTCAATTTGTTTATGTGATGTATCACGTTTATTGATTTGCGGATATTGTACCATCCTTGCATTCCTGGAATAAATCCTACTTGGTCATGGTGTATGATCTTTGTGATGCTCTGCTGGAGCCGATTTGCTAGGATTTTGTTGAGGATTTTGGCATCTATGTTCATGAGGGATATTGGCCTGTAATTCTCTTTCATTGAGTTGTCTTTATCTGGTTTTGGTATTAGGGTGATGCTGGCTTCATAGAAGGAGTTTGGAAGTGTTCCTTCCTCTTGAATTTTTTGGAAAAGTCTGAGGAGGATAGGTTTTAGTTCTTCCTTGAATGTTTGGTAAAACTCTCCTGTGAAGCCATCTGGCCCTGGGCTTTTGTTTGCTGGAAGCTTTCTGATGACTGTTTCAATTTCTTCCCAAGTCACTGGTCTATTGAGATTTTTAGATTCTTCCTGATCGAGTTTTGGAAGTTTGTATTTTTCTAGGAATATGTCCATTTCCTCCAGGTTGTTCAGTTTGTTGGAATAGAGTTGTTCGTAGTATTTTGTAACAATCCGTTGTATTTCATTGGGGTCTGTTGTTATTTCACCTCTTTCATTTCTGATTTTGTTTATTTGGGTCCTCTCTCTTTGTTTCTTAGTTAGCCTGGCTAGAGGTTCATCTATCTTGTTTATTCTTTCAAAGAACCAGCTCTTGGTTTTGTTGATCTTATGTATTGTTTTTTTGGTCTCTATGTCGTTTATCTGTGCTCTGATTTTTGTTATTTCCTTCCTTCTGCTTACACTGGGCTTTTCTTGTTGCTCCTTTTCTAACTCTTTGAGTTGTAGAGTTAGATCATCTGTTACCCCTTTTTCTAGTTTTTTGCAATAGGCTTGTAAGGATATGAACTTCCCTCTCAAGACTGCTTTTGCTGTGTCCCATAGATTTTGGATTGTTGTGTTTTCATTGTCATTTGTTTCCAGGATGTTTTTAATTTCTTCCTTGATTTCTCTGGTAACCCAGTCCTTGTTTAATAGCGTGCTGTTTAGTCTCCATGTGTTTGATTTCTTTGGATTATTTTTATTGTAGTTAATTTCCAGTTTTATGCCATTATGGTCTGAGAAGATACTTGATATGATTTCTATCTTCTTGAATTTGAAGAGACTTTGCCTATGACCCAAAATGTGGTCTATCTTTGAGAATGTCCCATGTGCACTTGAGAAGAATGTATATTCTGTGGCTTTGGGGTGGAGTGTTCTGAAGATGTCAATTAATTCCATCTGGTCTAGTGAGTCACTTAGGATCGATATTTCTTTGCTGTTTTTTTGTTTAGATGATTTGTCGAAGGGTGACAGTGGGGTATTAAAATCTCCTACTATGATTGTATTGCTATTAATCTCTCTCTTAATGTCCTCCAGCAGTTTTTTTATGTATTTGGTTGCTCCTGTATTGGGTGCATATATATTTACCAGGGTTATTTCTTCTTGTTGGATTGTTCCCTTTAGTATTATGAAATGGCCTTCATTATCTCTTATTATGTCCTTCACTCTGAGATCTAATTTGTCAGATATAAGTATTGCTACCCCAGCTTTTTTTTCATTTCCATTTGCCTGGAAAACTTTTTTCCATCCCTTCACCCTCAGTCTGTGTGCATCTTTTTTTCTGAGGTGGGTTTCTTGTAGACAACAGATGTATGGGTCTTGTTTTCTTATCCAATCTGTTACCCTATGTCTTTTGATTGGAGCATTTAATCCATTTACATTTAAGGTTATTATTGATAGGTACACATTTGACGCCATTTTTATTCTATACCCGTGTTCCTTCTTCACTTCCTATTTCTTTATTTTTACAGTAGACCCTTTAGCATTTCTTGCATTACTGGTTTGGTGGAGATAAATTCCTTCAGTCTTTTTTTGTCTGTGAAGCTCCTGATTTCCCCTTC